CTCTCTCTCTCTCTCTCTCTCTCTCTCTCTCTCTCTCTCTCTCTCTCTCTCTCTCTCTCTCTCTCTCTCTCTCTCTCTCTCTCTCCCCCCTCCCTGCAATTCCTTCACGGTGTGGTGAAGACGAACATAACCAGTATGTGTGTGTGTGTGTGTGTGTGTGTGTGTGTGTGTGAGAGAGAGAGAGACAGAGAGAGAGTCTATCCGCCGGCGATTGTGGTAACCATGTGTGCGACAACGGTGTCTGGGCAGGTATGGGCAGGTGCAGGTGAGGTTTAATTAGGTCATGGGTGCGGTCAGGAGTGCAGGTGGGTCTAGGTGAGGCCTTTTCCCGGGTGTCGGGCGGGTTGGGCGAAGGTGAGAAATTTTGAAAAATAACTGGGCAGTCTGGGTCGAGGTGAGGCAAAAAGAAAAATGATTAGGCGAGTGTAGGTCAGATTTAAATAAATCTGCGCGGGTCGAGCATGGGTGAAACTAAAACAAAAAAAATGCTCACCTCTGGGCCATAGCTACCTGAGGAAGAAGACTCCAAGAGGAGGGAGACCAGAGTTCTTCATCCTGTTGGTGCTTGTGCTATACAGAGAGTGTGGCACTTGTGCTCCTGAGGTCAGGGGATGAGAGGGAAGGTCACCATAGCTTCAGGGAGGCAATGTGGTCGTGATTTGGGAAAAGATGACTCCATGCTGCCACAGTGACAGAGCAGGATGGGGCCAGTGAGACTTCGGATGGGGGAGTCGTGGCTCCTATCAAAGAAAAGGCTAGTGAGACCGGGAAGAAGAAGGTAGTACGGTCCACGGGTCAGGGCGACCAAGGAACACCCGCATGGGTAAAACTTGGTTTAGAGTATGAGGTGTGGAGAGACCGAGTTGCTAGGGGCACGTGCATGAACTGTGGCAACTATGGCCACACGTCTCGAACGTGCCGAGGCAAGAAAGTCTTGACGAGGGTAGCCTCACCAATGGTGGTGGGACTTTCTTCGAACTCTGGCGGTGCTTCTGCGAGCACTTCGCAGGGAAACACCTCGGACCAGTGGGAGTATTAACCGCTCTTACTCGCGCTGAAGTGGTAACGTTGCCTTCCCCACTTCAGGCGTTGGCCAAGGCTAGAGACCCACGTATCGCCCCGCAGACACATTCAGACCCACCGACACTCTTTTCGAGAGATGTGTCTGAGGCCCTAGAGGAGTTAGAGACTGAGTGGTCAGGGAAGGACCCCAGGGACTCTTGGGCGATGATAAGTAGAGGTCCAAAGGGTGAACATTTCGTGGTAGAAGTTGATGTAGGTGGCCGAAAAGTGGGCGCCTTCGCAGACATAGGCTCTACTCGAAATTTCATCAGTCGTGCTTGTGTGGACAGACTGCGCTTAGGAGACCAAGTGCAGCGACTTAGCAGAACTGTAGCTTCTATGCTGGCCAACAAGCACCAAATGTTGGTAAAAGACTATGTCAAGGACGTAGTCTGTACCTTCTCCTATCGAGGAGGGGGAAGTGAGCCATAAAATCTCCTTCCTGGTTAGTGACGAACTGCCCTTTGATATGCTCCTAGGTATGTACTACCTCGAGGTCGCGCAACCGCAGTTTGAAAGGTATTGATTCACAAATTGCCCAACGGTAGATCTGTTAGATTGCAAAAGTTCAAAGTTAGCAGTCTAATAGAAAACTACGGGTGCATGTGTGCATCATCCTTCTATAACTATTATAAGTAGAATCGCGAGGAGGGCATGTATCTAGTATTTGTCTTTGAGAAAGGGGAGGTCGTTAAAACACCCCCAGAGATAGAATCAGTCGTCGCACAATATTCAGACCTTTTTGAGGAGCCCACAGGCGTGGTGGAAAGGGAGGTTGTCCATGCAATAGAGGTTGTCCCAGGTAGCAAGGTTCCTAGAGGACGAATCTATAGGATGTCTCCTGCGGAGTTAGATGAGCTTCGCCGCCAACTCAAGGAACTCACAGAGAAGGGATGGATTCGGCCTAGTACTTCCCTTTACAGTGCTCCAGTCCTTTTCGTACCGAATAAGGGAGGTATCTTGAGGATGTGCATTGACTATAGGGGCCTCAATGCCATCACCGTTAAGAACGCAGAGCCCCTACCCCGCATCGACGACCTCTTGGATAGAGTGCAGGGATGCTGGTACTTCACCAAGATAGATTTGAAGTCCGGATACCATCAAATTGCCATTAGGCCTGAGGATCGGCACAAAACCGCATTTCAGACCAGGTACGGTCTATATGAGTTTGTGGTGATGCCCTTTGGACTATGCAATGCACCTGGTATGTTCCAGCACGCGATGAACAGGATTTTTCATGACTACTTAGACAAGTTTATCGTCGTGTACCTCGACGATATTCTCATCTTTAGTAGGCCTGTAGAGGAGCACGCCGAGCACTTGAAAACAGTGCTAGGTCTCCTAAGACAGGACCAGTACAAGGTTAACTTGGAGAAATGCGAGTTTGGTCGCACCAAGATCTTGTACTTGGGTCATGAAATCTCAGCTGATGGATCGAGGCCGGATGATGCCAAAGTGGCCAGCATACGTGACTGGCCCAGACCTCAGACTGTTATCGAGGTCAGATCGTTTTTGGGGATGACGGACTACTATCGTCTGTTTGTGAAGAACTATAGTACTATAGCTTCCCCATTGACAGATCTAACTCGACTGGACACCCCTTGGGAGTGGGCTGAAGAGTGTGAGGCGGCCTTTAGGAAACTGAAGTACGCCCTGACACACTATGAGGTTCTTAAACTTCCTGATCCTGATAAGCCGTTTGTCGTGACCACAGACGCCATCCAATATGGCATAGGCGCGGTCCTTGCGCAAAAGGAGGGGCCCAAGTTGAGACCTATCGAGTACATGAGCAAAAAGATGCCATCTCAGAAACTAGCTAAGTCCACTTATGAGCGTGAGCTCTATGCCCTGTACAGAGCGCTGGTACATTGGAGACACTATCTCCCTGGCAGATTCTTCTATGTGAGATCTGACCATGAGACCTTGCACTGGATCAAGACTCAGCCAGTACTCTCTGACGCATCCAAGCGCTGGATACAAGTGATAGACATGTATGACTATCAACTTGATCCAATCAAGGGAGAGTACAATAAAGTGGCTGATGCGTTATCTCGCCGGAAGAATTATCTGGGCGCACTAGTGACTAAGTTTGGCATATCTAGCGATTTGACTCGATCATTGGTGGACGCCTATCAGCAAGATCCAGTTATGTCTGAGATCATCCGTAGATTCAAGGCAAAGGATAAAAAGACTTTGGACGAATTTACGATGGTAGACGGCTTGCTGTTTTTTGAAAAGGCAGGGAATAAAAGACTGTGTGTTCCCAGTAGTGAGTCTTTGCGTAGTTTATTTTTAGGAGAATGTCATGATGTTACTGGTCATTTTGGATACAAGAAGACATCAGCGAACTTAGTACAGAGATTCTGGTGGCCCTCTATGATGTTAGATGCAAAACACTATGTTGGAACCTGCCAGGTTTGTCAAAGGGACAAACCAAGGACTCAGGCACCGCTTGGGCTGATCAAGCCCTTGCCAATTCCTGAAGGACCAGGTCAGAGTGTGTCTATGGATTTTATGGACACCCTTGTGACCAGCAGGTCTGGAAAGAGACACATCTTCGTTATAGTGGATCGTTTTTCTAAGTAAGCCAGACTAATCGCTATGCCTGAAAGTGCTAAAACTGACCACGTCATCAAACTGTTTATGGATAATTGGGTACGTGATTTCGGTTTGCCTACATCTATCGTTAGTGATAGGGATGTGAGATTCACAAGTGAACTGTGGCAGTCAACCGCTGAACAAATGGGCACAAAACTCCAAATGACCTCAGCGAATCACCCTGAGTCAAATGGCCAGGCAGAACAGATGAACCGAGTAGTACGGCACCTGCTTAGACATTATATTAAGCCAAGTCAGGATGACTGAGACGAGAAGTTACCGCTCGTCGCCAGCCTGTACAACAATGCTGTGCAAAGTGCTACCGGTATGACTCCCAACCAGTTACATCTTGGTTGGAAGCCCAGAACTGCAGTTGACTTTCTCCTACCAGAAAGACAACCCACTGCAGCACCTGGCAGCATAGATTTTGCTGTCAAATATGAACAGATGCTACTCAAGTGAATGCAGTATCGTGTGAGTTTCAGACATCACCTTGATCTCAAGGAAGAACGCTGGTTCACACGAGAGGAACTCATGAGAACAGCACCTCAAGTGATTGCAGGCTATGAAAGAGAACGAAAAGGGAAGATGCCTGCAGAATAAGAGACTTCTCAGAGGACTAACAAAGTAAAGGAGGAGGGGATGTGAGGATCAGGGTCCTCGGTAGGCCCAAGGTGCCCTGTTTGCAGCATTGCCCGCCCTAAGTGAAGGCGGAGGTGCCCGCCCTAAGTGAGGGCGGGCCTAACATTTCACAAGAGGCCTACGACTGTCAATTTCATATTTGGGGGTACAGGCAGTTGCGACGCGCCAGTTGGTTGAGAGAAACACAGGCCGAGCAACAAAGACATTTCCACGGCCCTCCGGGCCTTTCCAAAGAATGCAGGCCCTGGGCGTGATTCGCAGCCTCATACAGAGACAGTTGGGCGCCCAACCGAACGAGGCCCAGCAGCCCAGTAGCTGCTGTACACAGGCAGCCTCCTGGGGCCTTCCGGAAGCTTCTGGGCCCAGGCCAGTGCAGCCAGGCTGCTCGAGCAGGCCAGCTCTTTCCATAAAGGAAAGAGCTCTCGCCAGGCAGCCTCATTCGGTCACTTGCTGGCTGGCGGCAGCGCTGCTGGAGCGATAGCTCGCGGGCTGGCTGCTGGCATTGGGAGCAAGAGGCTGCGCACATGCGGTCGTGCGGTGAAGCAGGGCGCTGCTGAGGGCAGCGCTATAGCCAGCCTCCATAGCGGGCTCGGCTTGGATGTACAGTGAGGCGCAGGGGTGGTCTTCGGGTGCAAGAGAGGACAGGTGTGGGTGTTAAGTCAGGGAAGGGCGAAGGATGATGATGATGATGATGTGAGGGCACTTACCTTGTATTGGCGATGGTCAGCATATGGGCGACATCTTCAAGTACTTAGGGTTGCCGCTGATGTCAACAGTTGCATTGTCTATTATTAGGCTGATCGTAGCTGTGTAGGAGTAGGCTGGGCACTGAGCGCCAAGTAGGAGTGTGAAGGGACTGGACTCTTGTGTTGCTGAAGGAGAGAGGAAGCTCTCCATGACATTGGTTTTCAGTACTACGAACCTCCATTGGTGTATTATTGGTGCAATGCTGCTCTATGGACACAGTGTGACTATCTGGCTTTTTATGTGATGGTGTAATCTGGATTTGTCATCTTGCTGTTGCTTATTTTCCTTGCAATAATAATAATAATAATAATAATAATAATAATAATAATAATAATAATAATAATAATAAATCGGACCCTGTGTTGTGCACATATACACTGTTGTCTTCTGTGAGTATGCCCTCGGTGAGGCACATCACCCGACATCACAGCATTGACGTCCTCTGTTCTTTGTTCTTTTTCTTCTTTTTTTTTTGTCATTGGGCAAGCAGGCCCACAAGGCCCAAATCCTTTTTATTTTTTGTTTTTAAGCACCTCTTTCCACACCCTCGCCCGGACCCCTGAAATTTTCGGATTATTGTATAAATTTTCCCTCTTTTCCCGACAGTGAGAAAGGTAGTGGTACTGTGGTGGTTTAAAAGAAAAGGAACTTCATTTTTTTTTTTTTAACAGGTCCTAACGGTCCTGGCTCCATGTCCATTTTGGAAGCGTCAGTCTGCTTCCTATTCCCCCGGCGGCAAGTCATAGAGCTACGTCAAATGAACACGCACGCTTCATTCCGTTCGGCTGAAGGATCCCTGATCAGAATTGATTGGTCCATTGAACTCCATTCCCATGGAGGATTGACTGTTCAGCTTGCCTTTCTTCTAGAATTGCCCCTGAAACATTAACCACCTTGTTTGTCATTATTTTATTATATTATACTGCTTCAGAACATTCATTGCTTCAACAAACCACTTGTCTCTGCTGCTACTGCGCACCGAACCTTGCAGATCATGAATACTCTGTGGACTCTCTGATCGCAGGTTGTGCCTCCCGTATCGGAGGAGGATATCTCCAAGTCTGGCGGAAGTCGAGAGGCGGCATTGAGATCTGCCGAGGCATCGGCCTCAACCTACACACTACAAGTATTTCGGCGTGCAGATGAGCTCAGCGTAGATGCCCGTATCTGCACCCTGGGATCAATTGCTGCGAGCAATGCACAGCTGAACCCAAAGTTTTCACCATCAACGTTCTTTTATGAAGTCGAGGTAAATCTTCTTCTTCTTCTTCTTCTTCTTCTTCTTCTTCTTCTTCTTCTTCATCTTTCTTCTTCTTCTTTCTTCTTCTTCTTCTTCTTCTTCTTCTTCTTCTTCTTCTTCTTCTTCTTCTTCTTTGTCTTTCTTCTTTGTCTTTCTTCTTCTTCTTCTTCTTCTTCTTCTTCTTCTTCTTCTTCTTCTTCTTCTTCTTCGTCTTTCTTCTTTGTCTTTCTTCTTCTTCTTCTTCTTCTTCTTCTTCTTCTTCTTCTTCTTCTTCTTCTTCCTCCTCTCATTCTTTTTTTCTTTGTTTTGTTTTGTTGTTTTTGTTTTTTGTTTTTTGTTTTTTAGCTTTTTTTGAAAAACTTTCATTACTTAATTGGAAAGGAGGGGACGGCCACCCCACATAAAGGCTGGGTCTGGGAGCATTACCCAGTGTTATGCTTTTGACGGGACCTGAAGAGGACCCGAGAACTGAAGCTACACTCTTAAAACCTAAACCCTGTCTGTTCCTACTTGCTGAATACTTTCTAACCTACCTTCTACTTCTTAATCTAAAAAATCTAATTAAATAGTATATTTTTCTTAAACCCTAAAGGGCCTAAACCCTATCTTTCTCTTCTTGCTCTACCTTTTTTCTACCTTCTTTCTACTTTCTTTCTACTTTCTACCTTGTCCTTATACTTCTGCATCCTATAATAATCCTTTAAATAGAATCTGTTTTAGTTGCTAACAAGTTTGTGATTCTTCCTAGTCCTCCTCCTATTGTAACTTACTACTCCTTTTTTGTTTTCGAAGTGTTCTTCATTATTCCCTATCCCATTCTAACTGGGTTCCACCATTCTCCATCAGCAGCAAACCCTCGAGCCCTGGATGGTGGCTACTTTGCCTCCGCCTAAAACGTTTTGAAGGAAGTGGGCCCTTAGTTCTTGCGGCTGGTCTGGGTGCTGCCGGAGCTGTCTCTGCGTCCTTTTCCATTGTGCTTGGAAGTCTGTGTCCAATAGGCTGTAAAGGGTCTCAAGACTCTCAACTGCTTCCTGCCTGTGCATTCCCCTCTTTTCGATGGCAATCTGACAGCACCTCTTCCAGATTGTCCACAGCGTGTACTGCCTTATCAGCTGGAAAATCCGCTTCTCAAAGGGTTGCCATGTCGGGGGGGGGGGGGGGGGGGGGTCATTGCCTAACAGAAGTGCGGCTGACGTTATCTGTCCCCAGAGCGCCAGAGCGCCTTAGCTTTCTCCCATAAGCAATCTGCCTTATGGGCATGTCAGGAGACAGTGATCATTGTTTCTGGGACCCCCTCCTGGCAGACCATACACAGTGCGTTGGCTGGGTCTCTTTGTTCCTTGCTCCTGTGTTCATTCAACCAGACAGTTCCTGTAGTGCCATGTGGGCAGTCAGCCACTGCATGCTCTTAACTCTCTCCATGTGTATGTATGGATCAACATCCAATAGAACCCCCGGTCATTATAGCTGCATTTGGCCCAACTTTCAGTCCAGATGCAGCGATAATGACTGGACGTTCTATTCGGGTGAAGACGGTAGTGGGTAGGAACGCTTCCTTCTCAGGTGGTAGGTAACCTATGTGGGTGGTGTAGTTGAATATGTTGATTCT